CAAGACAAGGGTACTTCCTGATAACTTCGCTGTAGGATGCTGAGCTGGTCGTTGTACTGCGTGCTGATTTGCGATCCGTTTCTCATGCGGTCCATCATCTTCGAGAGACTGCTCTTGATGGTCTTATAGCCGAAGAGAGCAGCCCAAGCAATAGCAGAAGTATAAGCAGCATAGTCACTAGAAGAAAAGGGGTCAGAATACGAGGGAACTTCCAGAGGCCGAGGGGGGGTTTCCTTACAAGAACATGGTCCACAGAACCTGGGTGCTGACGAACGGGGGACCGTACTCCGCGTAAGCCGTCTCGTTGAACGACACATCCGCAGTAAGCAGCTTCGTGATCGGGTACGACGTGCCGTTCTCGAGGAACAGTCTGTTTGACATCAAGTGCCCGTGCCACTCGCCGAGGTGGCCGTACTTGGCCGCCGGAATCAAGATCCAGCAGCTGCACGCGAAACCACAGAACATGACAACCTGCGTCCACCACGGAGTCAGGAAGAGAGATCCGTTGGTCGAGATGTTGGACCAGTCCAGCGAAAGGTTCAAGAAGCCCATTCCTCCGAACCCGGAACCGACAAAGTTGGCCACCGCGTTGTTGGGTGCCACCCAGCAGAGGAAGGCCAGCGATCCGAGCATAGGGAAGATGTACTCGGGCAGGAACTGCCACATGGTCATACCGAGGAGAGCCCAGAAGAAGACTCTCGTCTGCTTGCGGGACGAAGCCGTCGGGGCCTCGCGCTGCTTCTTTTGCGTCTCGAACAGGGCGGTCTGGCAAAGCGCCGTAAACCACGGGAACTGAGGATCGTAGATCAAGAACTGTCTAGCCAGTGCGGCAAACGAGTAGCCAGTCCACACAATGCCCCACATGAAGAAAATTGCCGCCGCAGGATGAATCTTGGAGTTGAAGTAAAGCTCGGCCATCGCAACGGGGGTGTATCCCAAGTTGTAGGTAGCGCCCGATGCCGCGGAAATGGTAATCAGGACATGCTCTTTGACGTTGAACGGCCCCGGGTTGAGGTTGAAGCTGAATTTGGTGAATGGGACCTTGACCTCCCACGCCGGCAAGATCTTGGCAAGCCATGCGCCGCAGTAACTCGAGGCAATCTGGACGAAGAAGATGGAGTAGGGCGCATACGTCGTGCGGAAATGGCTCATCATCGACAGGAACGCGCCGGGAATAACGAAAATGATGGTGAGGAGGAAGTATCGGAACGTAAGACAGGGCAAGTCCGGGTCGTCGTGCAGCGAAACGATGCGGCGCACGTAGGCCGGGATGTCCTTCAGTCTCGGGTCGTCTTCGTCAAAGGCCTCTTCTTCTCCGTTGGCCTTGGTCGTGAATACAAAGGGCGGCTTCTCCATGTCGCTCTCAGTGTAGGGAGCAGCGGGCTCGCCGGACCGCTTCTCGGGCGTGCCGTTGCTGGGAGAGTCGACGGAAATGGCGTCGCCATCGTGAAGACCGCCAGTCTTTGGCTCACCGGCGGCCTGTTGTTGTTGGTTTTGGGATGGAGACATGGTGGAGGTCGTTCAGGGCGGCTGATCGCCAAGATGCTTGGAAGAGAACGCCACACGGGAGCCAAGTTGGCCAAGCCTCTGGGGATCAGGGACCCTCTTCTTCCGAACGCAACGCTCCGACAGCTGGGCGTTGCAACTTATATCAAGAAGTCGTCCATGGTTCAACTGCTTCGCCCACTCGCCGTTACTGACTCTAGACAACTCCCGAATGTGGGAGGTCAGTCGACCGTTACAGTTAGTTGGCGGAGCCATTGCGATGGTGTCATCGGCGTTTTTCATCTTTATATTACCTGCGTCGCGCGATGGCACGAGCTTAAGCGGATATGCGGCTTCTGAAGGTGGCTTTCGATTCTAGGAATGTAACCCTACGGGGCCTTTCGAAATGCCCCGCAGGATCGCCGGCGCACTGCATCGTATTGCGGCAAAAGTGCCATCCCACTGCGACTCGGTTCAATCATCTCATAGGGGCGACTCGGGCGAGAGCGTGTTCACATATTGTGCCATAGTAAGCAGCAGAAGTTTCCGAGTTCTTCGTGGCAAACAAACACAATTGTGTTGCAGAAAAGTCTCTTCACCAATCCCGTACATAACAGCAATTGCGCCATCGCCAAAAGTCCCTACCTCGATCTTCACAACCACTAGGCTGATTAGCCGAGATGGATCCTGTGGAACACGGCCTTTGAACGGTGGGTAGGGTCGACAAGGAGTACGTAAAGCTTAAAAAATTCCTTCAATTGGGCAAAACGTTGCTCGGATCCGACATGTTACGTTGTGCTATTTGCCATTCTTCGATTTCAAATGCAAAATGTCAGAGACGGATGAACAAACACCGACTTCCAATCTCCTTACCATGACTCGTTCTATCGCAAAACATTCTGTATCGGTAATCAAGAACAGCCAGCTATCAGCTCAATTCCACGGCTGAAGCTTTCCTCCGTTCTGCAAAGTGTACGTCCGGCCTTGGAGCCAGGAGCTCTCTGCGGCTTTCTGATCATACGCAACCGTGTACCCCTGGTCCTTGAGGCGTCCAAGATCCCCACCAACGACTGACAGACCTCGGACGAACGAGTTCTTTGCTACGATCCAGGTGCTTGTATCGTCAATCTGCACTGTCAAGCCCCCACGATTATTGATGAGAGATGCATTGGCGGAGCCCTGCCACGTGCTGTTGGCCAGAAGATTGACAGTGACGGTACAACCACCCCGGGTGACGATATCTCCGGAAATGCCTTCCGAGCCCATCAGCGTCAGGGAAGAGTTGGAAGAGATTGGACTCCCGCTCCAAAGCTGCGGCTCGACCCTCTCAAGGTCCCGGGATGCTGTGTTCGTATCCGCCAGAAGCAGAATTCCTGAAGGATTGTATATCCTTGCATTCATTAGAATGATCTCGGCGGAAAATGTTGCCAGGTAAAAGGCCGGGCCCTCGCGGACCGTCAGATTGAGGGACGTCGCCTCCAACGTGCCGGCATCATGTTGAGCCGTGATGGACCAATCGAAGAACAGGAAACCACTGATTGTTCCCGAAGTGATGGTTGAACCGTTCAGATGTACATACTGAGGCCCCTCCATGATTATGGCAGGGGACGCGTCGGCCCAACCGGTCAGATTGGATGACATGGTTCGCCCTAGTGAGTAAATCAATGGCGACCCCGGGTTGGTAGTGTGGGCGACGCCCCCACGGCTGTTGATGTTGAGGCCCGCGAGGGTAGGTGATCGGTAGCCACCCGAGCAATGGCGGAGATTGGTGACATCCAAATTGGCACCCCGGATGGCAAAAAGACCAATGGCTCCCGGGCCGCTACTGTACAGTTGGGGTGCCTCCAGGGTGACCGTCGTCCCAGCTCCAGTTGCATACAGGTTGATTGCGCCATTGTGGGTTTCGATGCGACCAGAGAACCGTAGTGTTGATCTTTCGCCCTTCTCAAAGTCAGTCATCTAGTAAGATCACGCAAGGCCCGAGGATACTATATATCTTACGACAAGAATGGCACTATTATAACCTGTTCCGAGGGACCGTGGCAAGTCTTCAGGTGCTCCAGTCTTTTGCACATCAGCCTGCAGTAAGTCTACAATGACTCCCGTCATGTAGAGCACGCTGGTCTGCTCCAGACTAGTCACATAAGACTTGCCAGTCTCTGAAGTCTGGGGCTGGTCGAAGATTCTCTGAGCAACAACTATACTCGCATTGTTACTTAACGACATTACGGGCTCCTACACCGCTCGTGGAATATATTCTGCGGAAAGAATGCATTGGGTATCACTTACTAGGCTTTTCTTCCGTCGTTGCTGGAACATAGTTTGGCCGGATCATGTTGTCGTCAAACCATTTCGAGGCAAGGACCCCAGGATCTAGACACGGATCTTGATCCTCGGGGATCGGACTCTGTGCTCTGCATGTTAGAGTTAACACGCCAATAGTGAAGGTTAGGGAAGCTCGGAAGCCCATGATGGATTCTCCCACTGTGGTGAATTGTGGTCAAGTCAGAAAAGTCAACATTCATCTCGGGGTGATTCTGGTATGAAATGGACCGAAATATCGCCCAGAGAGGATCTGAATGATCCTGACATCGTCTAGAACTCCTGTCAAATTTCAATCTAAGACAAAGATGGTCAAGTCCAACGAGAGACAGGCATGGATTCTGGAACTATCAACCGAGCAGATGAGAGCCCTGGAGGTGGAGCCAACCTGTGATACACTTCAAGCTGAGGTGACTGTACTGTCCACAATGAGACACTTGGTAATTACACTACCTCCAAATTTGGTTCATAAGTAACAATGTCTGGTAGATTTTCCTCGTCAGTCAATGATAGTTCTTCTCACTCGTTGTAGCGGGTCTGTTGACCAAAATCAGGACATAACAGTGTACACAAGCGTACTGTCCATGCCGACATACTTTAGACGAGGACATGTCAACGATTTTGAGGAGGATGTACATACCAAGCGGCCTTATCTCCCAGTCCGCGACACAAGCCTGTCTCTAACCCTCTCACCATGCTGAGTGATTCCAGAACAGAACGAACCATTCTGAGACATGGGAATCGAGTGGTATGAAATCAACGAAAAACTTCGACAGCCAACTCCAGCCGAACAATTTGAGACATCCAGCAAGCTACCCTTCGCCTGAGTTACCTGTCATCCATTCTTGTCTCGCAAATGTATGGGTCTGGATGTCATTCCAAGACCTCCGCATCAACCCCTTCACTCCCATCACGCGGACCCATGTACATAATGTCGTGAAAGATTTGCATCCAGTTGCCTTCCTCTCTACGCCACCAGTACTGCACCTTGACCAAAAGGTCTTCTTTCCTGTCTATTTCATTACCTAGCGATTCATCCCAAAGATCAACCCTCAATCCCACCCACCCCTCTCTTCTGGCCTTCTGTTCGACTTCCGACGCTGAAGAGAAGCCGGCAGGAGCAGTCTGCTCGTCGGCGCCGAACTCAAACTCCTCTTTTTCGAGTGGTCGTATCGTATAATATCCCTTCTTCGCTAGCTTTCCACTTGACCCCGATGCCCCGTTTTCGTCTTTGGGTGCATACTCGTGCAGGTAGCGCACGATTGTCTCACGATTGTGCGCAGCAAACGAGGGGTTTGGGCGACATATTTGGTAGCAAGATGGAGAAAAAAAGATCCCCTTCGCATCGATATCCGCGGTATGTCTATACGAAGCGTAGATCGCCTTCAAATGATTGACAAGGTCCGCGGTACTCATTTGTGAAGCCATAAGAGCCTGTTGATAAAATATCGTCGATGTTAGAATGGACTTTTCTTCAGGCAACCTAATGTTGATGATGATGGGAGCTTGGGACAGACCAGGCTCTTTAAGTTTATCCCCGTCAATCCACATCGCATCCCCGCCGCCAGTCTTTGACCAGCTGAAGTCAGCATTTAGCGCCATGCAGAATGAGTCAACCACACGGATTTGGAATGTGTTCTGTCGGATTTTGCTGCTAATTGCTGAGGGGTTGAGAATAATAGCGTCATAATGACCGTGTCTAGATACAGTTCAATTCGTCCTTTTCATTTGCTTCAACCCTTCCTGCCAGCAAAATAACATTCTTAGCCGACGAGTGCGATTTCTTGAGCTTCCTCAATCCCGAAGGGCCCATGATCTTGACTCAATGTTTGCGTTGATCGCTAATTCGAAGACCCGATTTCGGTCCAGCTGACTCTTCCACGAGACATGGGAACCTTTGATCGGGGCTGTCTAGAACACCTCTCGTACCTGCAGCTGAATCAAAGACAGCAAGCGACGAGTCACCCGCTCCAAACATCTTGGTGCCCTCATCTCAGCCGATACCATGGAACAGACTGTTCATCAGCCAATCGTTGCCGAGGATCTTACACGTTTTGATCAGCGCAGTTTGCCGTGACGAGGAAGTTGTCACACGGCGTTGGTTCTACTTAAATCGATGAGACACACTAAACAATACTCTTTGTAGAGTCGGGCGGCCTCAAAGGAGTCAAAACTTAGAAAAGTTCAGTCGATATCACCGGGATACAAGGGCATCTCTAGACTGGACCTTGTTGTTCATAGACTTTACTGATTTCTCTCTCACGGAGTATTGCTACAATCTCAAGAGAATAAGGCAGCTAGCCAAAATAATAAGCCGAAAGCTGACCAGTCAGCCTGTATTGTACGAAGAACAATACCACCCGATAAGCAACCCTGACTTTAATGGACAGGCAAGCACAATGGCACCAATGAATAGTACAGGTGACTGGTATCCAAGGTCCGCAGCCGGCGCCGAGTTGAGGGCCGAGCGCCGGGCGGACTGCTCCGCACCCCTTGCTCGTTCAGATCTCGGATCTGGCCCACAGACGGAGATGGAAATTTGTGCACACATCCCTGCTCGGTCTCCTCGGAGGCCGATACTACACTCCCACCGACGGGATGTCACTGAGTCCAGGCAATGGCGACCGAGGAGTCCGAAGGAGATTCCACGACTCTTGCCCCAACAACTCGACACAGCTTGAGGCAGCTGCATTCAAGCCCGAATAGCTGACATGGACTCAAGGGCAACTGCGGTAAGCAAAGATCGATTGTGGTCCTACTTAAGTACATATCTAACAGAAATGTGTCTAGTGTGACTTATGCCGGTTGCGCAAAGTAAGTGGACGTGTTGCAATGATTCCAAAATGAGACGCAGCAATGTTCTAGGGGCACAAATTTCTGCATCAGTGTCTCTGTCTGTGTGATCAACACCAGTCATTAACAGCCACTCTAATAGGTTCGATGTGACAAAAGCGTACCTTGCTTCAACTGTCGACAGTCGTCACAGGACTGCACATTCACTGGCGCTGGTCAGAAGCCCAAGGTTCCTCGCCAGAGGGTTCATGTATCCCTGCAGTAGTGTGTTTCCCGATCAACCCTTTCCTTCCCTCGCAGCATCTTCCAGGCTAATAGGCTCGCAGCGAGGAGAAGATTGACCTTTTGGATAAACGCTTAGCCAATATTGAGTCCTTGCTGCTCAAACAACAACAGAGTGCGGCGTCAACACAATGCTCATGCTCGGGGCTGACCCCTGAAAAGGCCCCTTCAGAAGTGCCGCTCTCCGTAAAGGATACACCTCACGTCGCCACAGAATATGATGCAGGAGATGAAGCTCCGCCGGTTGAAGGCCCCTCCTCACTGAGGTTCCAGATGGCAGCAACAAGAAGACTCACAGAAAGTGCGGCCATTGAGTTGGGTACCTCATGCTACGTGAATGCCGTTGCTAGTGCGCATAGAGTCGCGGGATCTCAGAGTCCAGCAGGACCTGTCCAACGACACTTAGCCCAGAAGCCCGTAAGTTACCGAAACATGCCTCTGCCGCCAATAGCCGCTGTCGTTGGTGTGCTTAGACAACTGAAAGGTACGTGGATCAACTTGTATCTTGTGTCAAAGTCATTGTCCAAAGTCCTTTGCTAAGGATTGTGAGTTGATAGACAACCCTCCCAGCAGTTTCTTTGTTTTGAGGTGTTTTCTCCCATGTTCGGACTTCATTGACCTCTGCCGGAACGTCTACTTCTCCGTCGACGACTATACTGCCATTGACTTCATTATAGTGAACTCGGGCCTGCATTCTCTTTTCACAGAGTATTTTTGCCCTCCCAGTGTGGGACAGTCTGAGCCTCGGAAACAGTCTCTCGCCTGGGGGGCAATGTGCAGAAATGCTCTCACGGCCGCAGTAGCAACGATAGATGCCGGTTTATCTGCAAAAGCCAAAAACGTACAAGCATTGATCCTCGGCGTATGTCAAGCCATCATATGTTGACCTTGTTCCACACTAACAACCCAGACAACGCACGCCATCGAGATGGCAAAACCGTGGCTGGCATGGAGGTTGATATGCTTCGCAGCGCAGCTTTGCATGGCTGCAGGCTTTCATGACGATAGTCTTATTGTTGCTGATGACGAAAGTACGAGAAACGTCAAAGCCTTGTTGTTCTGGCACGTCTACGGGTTGGAAAAGAGTATTGCCTTGCGCGTGGGCAGAGCCTCCATGATTAGAGACTCTGATATTGACATACCCAAGGGGCTCAATCTGGTCTGTCTACCAAGGCTGTGGGATAAAGTTGTGCCGTTCTGGGTCGAGAATGCCTCAATTCACAGCAAAATTTACGATCTGCTCTACAGTCGAAGCGCACAGCTTGTCTCCCAGGAAGACTTATCCGAGCGAGCAGATAGCCTGCTTGCTGATCTCAAGTTGATAGAGCCCGTTAATCTGGTATGTACGACCGTGGAGCTTGTTACTCAGTTCAAGTATGATGATGGTAACGTACAATCAGGTCAACTCAAGGATTTCCCCTGCCAATAGTACCGAACCAACGACGAAGTTGGATGATGTCCTTGCGATATCCGCCAAAGTCATGTACTATACGACAGGAACTCTGATATGCAGGGCAAGAACTTCTCGAGCTTCTGTGCCATCTTTCTCACCGGACTGCTTGGCATATGCACGCTCGACAATTGACGCCCATCTTGAGTGCGTCCCCTTGATGAGCGGCGACTTACATATTGTGAATCTCTACCTCCATTGGTAAGCCCAATACCACTATTCATGCCGATTTTCTAGATCATCCGTTGTGGAATTGACAGGTGCCATTGTGTATTCAGGAGACTACTCCAAACCCCTTTTATTCCACTCCTGGTGGTATTTTGCCACATAGTCGAGACTCAAGATTCGGGCGACGCGCAACGACTCAAATGCTTTGCAGACAGCCTTGAGCATGGGGCCGATCTATCACCTTCTGCAAAGGACTTTTATGACATTACTCGACAGCTCTATATGATTGCAGAAAAGCACATCCAGACAAGCAGCGAGCAAGATTGGGCGTCTGTCCCGTCTCTGTCAACCCTGGGGCTCACCCAATTTTATCCGGCTAATGCTATGGCGGGCAATTATCATTTGGCGGCTGAACACGGGCAGTCTAATCAGGACATGGAGATGATGTTTGGTGGGGAGCAGGTCATGGGCTTCTTCTAGTCGGATTTCACCAGGCTATCCCAGCTCGAGGCTTGCGGCTGGGTGCGAGATCAACGATAGACACATAGAGTCGAGTACCATACTATTGTACTGGTTTTGTAACAAACAGAATGAAAATCTCCTAGAAGAAAAGATAACCGAACTTTTGAATCAAGAAGACTTACGATTGGGATCGCGTAAAAGCGAACGATCTATCTCCGTCGGGAGGGGCGGGCCAAAAGACTCTTCGGTCCCCGAGAGCCCCGAAACCTACGAGATCCCGTGTCCGCGACAGCTGCACATCCCACTGCTAAACTCGGGGCAGACCATGTTAACGGAAGCTGCCGAGTTGAATTTCTAAGCTAGTTGGTCATGGCCTGCTCAGATTCTTGCGCTTCCGAAATCTTGTCCTTAATCTCCGGTTCATGACGCTGCTAGCCGCAATACTGCCATGTGACGGACGCCTTGGCGTTGTCCGAAGAGCGAGATGAGTCTTCACTCTTGGCATGAGCAAGACTCTTGATACACGCCGTCATTGATCCATAAACATATATAGGACGAAAACTTCGAACAGTGTGGAGAGACTGAATTTTCCGGGCCCCTTCGCCATCACTGAGGAAAGGTTTTGTTTGTTGAAAGTAAGATAACGAAAGATAAGACCAATATGGCTGTGGCAATTGCTGGCGGAATCAGCGGCCCTGGCCGTGATCTTGTTGAAGCTATTTCGGCCCAAGGAACCCATGAGGTTATCGTGCTGACGAGAAAGGTACTTATCAACAAGACAATGGTCCATGCATTTTAGCAATAAGACTCAATACTAACAGTCATGTTCTCACCTAGGTCTCAGGACAACCCGGAGGCGCAGCCCCAAATGTTCGCTTCGTGGCTGTAGACTATTCTGATATTGATTCTCTCACGGCCGTCCTTGAAAAATACAATGTCGACACCCTAATTTCAACAGTTTACAACATTACCAGGGAAAGCCAGTCAGAGTTAAATCTCGTCGCAGCTGCTGAGAGATCGAAGACAACGAGGAGGTTCATACCAAGCCATTTCGGCATCCCTTACCTACCCGAATATGGAGTCTCAACCTTTCCCCCTTACCTTGCATCGTCGCCAATCTAGGGGACCGCATCAACTCACTCATAAACATCACTCAGATCTGCGTAACACCTAGGGCCTGGGCGTCAATATCTCCTATTATTAGAAAGAAGACGGCCATTACGAAGATGAAGTTGATCTCACTGGGGCGAGTGACTTTCGGACACTTCCGCGACCACTTACTTACCCGACTTATGCTGCCCTGCCTCCTACCTCGAACAAATGGCGTTCTTTGTCAACACCGCTATCAACGCTGCGTCGATCCCTGAGTCAGAGGATAGTCCCACCCTCTTTGACC